GAGCTACAAAACAATTAACAGTTTATGGTTCAATATTCGACAAAACCAACACACACGATATTAATGCTTTTTATTAAAATTTGCATTTTGTGGTACCTGATTGATAGCGTTCAAAGAAAAAGCGCAAACGGCACTGCCACCAAACGAGATATCTGGTGTTGTTAGAGTAGCGTAGAACAATGTATCCGATTGCCCATCAACACGTTGCAATGATTCTGAAACAATTAAATAATTTACGCTGAGTTGTGCTGGATATTAAATTGAGATATTTGGTTTGGGGATCGAAGAGTTTGGATAAGGATGCTCTCGATTTGGGGAGATGAACCTTGTCCAAGTACAACTTAAATACTTCAAATCCAGCCTTCAGGTATGCGTGATTCTTGCATACAAGCACGTGAAAGATTTGGCGGGAGAATTGTTAACTTGGCAACCAGAAAAGCTGCAGAGCTGAAACGTCCTGGTGACTTCGAAGCAGCAAAATTTCTTGCTCTTTGAAAAAAAATGAAAAAGATATATAGGCATTATACAATAAAAGAGGAAGGCATACGAATTTCGTTGAAAAAAGTAGGCGAGCTGGACGAAGTTGAACAATCCAAGCGGGCCTTCACAAAACTTGTCCACACCTGTCGCAGTACGTTCTTTCCACCAATATCTTTCTGTAAACAAACAAAATTTAATAGGCTACAACAAATTTATATTTTCGGGATTATTGGCAAAAAATTCCAACATACCTTACAAATTCGAGCAACTCTGGAATAAACAACTCGGCCACAACTTTCATGCTCAATGGCAATTTCGCGGAAAAAGAAGTAAACAAATTTGCCAATACTGAACGATGCAACAAAGTTCGGCTCTGAAGAAAAAAAACAACGATGCGTTAAAAATGACCAAGAAACCCAACAGCAGTAAAGGATCTGAGAGATGGACATGTCCACATACAAGAAGCAATTTTGCCCCACAGCTTCACAATAGGCATCACATTTAAAAACTGCACCAGAAGGCTAATTTCTACGAAGAAATTATGCAGAGCATAGCGCTAGACAAGGCCACAACTGGTCTCACATGACCAAAATCTACCAACAAAAAAAAAAAATTAAAAGTAACGACCATTCAAACGGACTGCGGAGCGATGGCCTGTGCATGCAGCAAAGATGCAGCAACAAGGAACTTGAAGTCCCTCAAAATCGAAAGATTTAGTATGGATAGAAATGATAAATAACAGCTATTAGAAGGCCGAAACAGAAGTGGACGGTTCAAGTGGGGCGGCCGAAGTGGGTTAAATTCATAAAAAATTTTTTGCGGTCGTTGGTAGGCTGAGCAATAATTTCTAAAGCAACGATCAGTCCGAAACGTGGAAAATACAAAATGGCCAAAATCCTAAATTTTAACGTGAGGTGGTATTAGCTAATGGATTATGATGCGAAAGATAGTAGGGCTGTTAATGTGGTATAAGTCGTATGACACGTTGAAAAGTCATGTAAAGAGGAGTTGTTCTGCCTGTGTTTCTCAGCTGGTCACGCCGAAGCTCCG